AATTTCAGCTAGAACACATCTCTTTCTAGCACTCAACCCGAATTTCAGCTACAATACACATCATTCTTTGCCAGTGTTTCCAATTCTGAATTTTAGCTCTTAAAACAGCAATTTGACCCCCTAAAACATATTAAAAATATGTAACGATACATATTTAACTCCCCAAAACATACTGAAAATTCAGCAGCAGAGATAGCTGAAGCAGCAATAATCAAACAATGCACTGCTGAGCTGGATGCCAGTTCCAAAGCTGCAGATGCCTCCTGTCACCTTACAGACTGTAACTTCTCTAATACAGAATGCATCAGTCCTAAAAGGTTTTAATTAGCACTAAAATAAAATCAACTTAACCTCACCCCCGTAAGTCATTTTTAATTGGTGTTTATATTGGCACAATGTTTGTTGCACACAGTTAAAAGGGTTCTTTGTTCTATAACCATCTTGTTTTCCAAATCTGGGATCCTGGATCGTTCCCCCATACACCCCAACCAGCTCCAGTTAACTTCACACATGTGGAATTTGGTTATCAAGCACAGGAACAAAAAAACCATCAGATATTTCTCAACTTTCCTCTTGCAGGAAGAGAGTTTTCAGTCATGTTTTACTTCTTGCAAACCAGCTGAAATTGCAGCAAGGGAAGGGTTCGCTTTCAAAGTGAGTTTTGAACTACGTAATTAACATATTAAATAATATTTTATTAGTATTCCAGAATTAGGTTATTTTTTCCAGTACTGTTCAGCAAAGCAACCTGGAAGGAAACCCAGCACAGGCTGAAAGCTGTGCAGGACCACAGACAGAATAAATTCCTTCAAAACAAACTAAAACATCAGCTACAAACTACTGGAGCACTAGCCAGAGCTGATAATTCATGTCAAACATAGTAACATCAAACATTCCAGCATTTTAATTTAATCTCCTATTTAAACATTCTCTTTGTGAACTTATCCAGGTCTGGATTATGTTGATGAAAGGTTAGAAAGTTTAGCAACAGTCTAAAGCACCCCAAAAGTGGAAATTTGGCAGCACACAATGGACAGTTTAATTGTTTTGAGTCACTGTATAGAAGGTGAAGGAAGGAAGGAAAAATTTTTGATGGTTTTATTTTCCTTTTTCTCACTCCCTATAAAGGCTTCTCCCCTTCCCAAGCATTATAAATCTGTCAGTGGAGCTGTGACTGCCCAGCTTTATTTTCAAGCCCTGCTTAAATACTTGGTTGCCCTAAGAGCTTTCAAGAACAGAGATAAAAATGAGATACAAATTTGCAGATGATTTCTGTTATAAACCCTGCATTTCTCTGAGGTGCAGGAACTCACCACTTTGTAGGGTTCAGCAAAGAGAGGGGAGTTGGGTGGGAAGGCTTCGTCACCCTGCTGAATTTCTTGATTTCGCCTTTCCCGTTCTTTCATACGCAGCACATTCCGGTCTTCACGGTTCATGTTGCTACGAGCAAAAAGAGCAGTGCTGATCACACAGGGAAGCAGGAGGGATGTGAGGGCCCAGGGGAGGGATGAGAGTGCCCAAAGGAGGGATCTGAGTGTCCCCAAGCAGCCTCTGGCCCTGTCTGGCCACGGAATGATCTCTGTTAAGAACCCACTGAGGGCCACAATTCCTCAGAACTGTCCAATTTCAGCCCCCTCCAAAGGGCTGTAACCCCCAACCCACAGCTGGCTTCTCACAGGGAAACTTTATGCAGCAATAAAAAAATTAAATCAAAAAAACCCCAGCAGGTCCTCAGGCAAGCAGCTATTTCAAACCACTTCACCCGCTGCAATCATCTCGGCTCCAGCCCACGCCAAACATCTCCCATTCATTTCTAAAATACCTTTTCTCCCCCACATCCCCCAGATGTTCTGCCATCCCCCCACGAAGCAGTGCTTGACTTCTCCTGTAGATTAGGGTTATTTTTGGTGCTGACATACCTTTTTTTGGCACCATTCTCCAACATATTCTAACCTCAAGCTTTGATGTGGTTTCCAGGTCTCTCTCCCTCCCTGATCCCCAAAAGGCATTTCAACTCAAAGCAGTAATTTCAGAGAAGTTCTGGCAATAATGCACCTTTTGCCTTGGACCATATCCTCCTACTGCAAAAATACAGATTAAGAACCTGCCAATCCCCCTTCTTAACAAACTTTCCTTTGCAGCTTGGTCTTGCTGCTTCTGTTAACAGAAATACATCAAATTCTTGCAAGACACACACAAAAGCTGGAAAAGATTCCCTCTGAGCTTGACAAAAGGAGTAAACAAAATGAGATGATAAATAAGGTGCCACTGACTCCTTTAACATCAAACCCCAGGATGGTTTGGGTGGGAAGGACCTTAAAGCCCACCCAGTGCCACCCCTGCCATGGCAGGGACCCCTCCCACTGTCCCAGGTGCTCCCAGCCCTGCCCAGCCTGGCCTTGGCACTGCCAGGGATCCAGGGGCACCCACAATGTGTGCTACACTCTGCACCAGGAGATTCAGAAATATTCTTTACTGATCTGCACAAAGTACAGTTGGTGCATCCAGGAAAGACACTGATGTTCCACCACGCAATTTGCAGTCTAAAATGAAAATGCTGGCTGCTTAGAAAATCATTATTTCATGTCTTTAGACAGCTGATTATTAAAAATAATAAATGACTTGCTAGAGCATGACTCTGAAAGCTGTGCAAACCCAGCTATTGCATTCTCAACAAGAAAATTTCAACCCATCAGTCAATTTTTAAAACATGAGTCTTCTCACCTCAGTAATATTTCTGCCTCTTACATTTCTTCCCCCATTGGCTTCACCTTGCCTATTGCTCTGAAATGTCAGAGGCTGCCCAGAGCAACCCAGGGTGTAAGATGAGATCTTTGATGCTTTCTAAGGCACCAGGTTTGCTGTATTTCCCTGCCTTGCACACAAGGTACAAGCACTGGCATAACCCAATGCTGTGCTGATACCAAACCCATGAACACAACTTACATTTTATGTGAAAAATCACTTTTTTCTCCAGTTCTCCTGCAACCTGCTGAACTCATGTAACCACAGGTGGCCACCAGGGCTGAGAGAGGGACCTGGCACTGGAATGTGGCCAGCAAACTCCTGGGATCATTCTGGCATTCATGACAAACTTGTTTTAGAAGTTTGAGGCTTGAAAAGAACATTCTTGAGACTGCAATCCAATTTGTCACATATGTAGGATTTCAACACAGATAAATATCAGATTTAATTAGAGGCACTGATCAGTTAAAGCCAACTGGAACAGTCTGAGTCCATGGCATTTACTATTAAAAGCAAATTTCGAGGCAGGGAATAGGAATGCTCTGGTTCTGGGTGGTTCATTCTCACCAATACACTGAGATCAGGAATTACACACAGCTATATATCCAGAATATTATCATCTTAACAAAGGATTTTACATATCTGTTTTCCAAATAGAGGGTTAAGTACTTATAAAGACCTTCACTATTTTTTTTACAGAGATAAGCATCACCTTTTAAAATTGCATCAACATTTCCTGTAACTCTTAGAGCTGAAGAAAACCCATCATTTGTAGCAACACTGTCACACAAAAGGAACATTACAGCAAAGATTCACTGGAGATGTGAGTGGTGCAAACCCAGAGCTGATCTGGCTGTACCTGCCCAGGTCAATGTAAAATTAGTCATTAGAAAGACACCAGTTAATGACACTTTTAACAACTCCTCCCCAGCCTTTTGTAACACAGTGAATGATAAACACCCTCATGGGGAGTCACCTTGACTGTGTGGGGATTTAGTTTAGCTTTCTTTAACTCTTTTACATTTTTTATTAGAGCAAATAGTTTGACTGTGATACAAGTTAGACTTGTTGGTATCTAATCAGCCAATCTCCACACAGAGCTATTTTAAGTGCCTGTAATGTGCACAAGGCCATTAAAATCACACCAGCATGAAATGTGTAAATAGAGGAAGTTCGTGGGGCTTCCTTAGCTCTGTACTTCAGACAACTTCCCACTCCAACCCAATGCTCCACAGCACCAGCAGGGAAATGCTCCCATGCTCAGGGAAAGCAAGGAGGGTGCTTTGAAAGGCAGGTGACCAAGGCCTGGCTGCTCATCAGCACCGCTGGCAATTAACTGCAGCAGGTAGGAAACCGCAGGAGTTCTGTTCTCA